CAAGCTCCAGAATCACAAAGCACGTTTTTAAACATTTCTCCTCTAATAGAACAAGAGATAAGAAACTGACCTACACCTTCGATTTTGTGAAGTGTTCGAACAGGTTTACCTCTTCTTGCATGGTTGAACAAATCTTCTATCTGAGGGATTGATTCCTTGCTTTCACAGAAGTAGTGGCCTATCATGAAGTCCTTGCAAGCTCTGGCAAAGGTGATTCCTTCAGGTAAATTTCGAACTACATCATTGAATTCGTCGAGCTTCTCTTTGCTGATTTTGTTGGTGTAGTGGCTGCAGTCTTCGGGCTTTTTGAGGTGAATCGCATAGATAGCTGCTTCTGGTGTTGTCATGTATCAAGCTCTCATAAAGTATCTATGGATATCCTCTTTAGACACCTTGCAGTACCTGAAAAAGACTTGCAAACGACCAAGCTTCTAAATTTCATCAAAGCTTAGGTGAGCAGGGAATGACCTGACTATGTTGTTGAACTCCATTAGCTTCTCTCTACTGATGTTGTTTGTGATCCATTGAATTTCTCCTGAATTGTCCTCTGAGGAATATCCTGCGTTTGGATCTTCTACAAACAACCCATACTCTTCATCTTCAGAGTATTGCTCTTCATACTCATCTTCACAAGACAAAGCCATGTTGTAGGGCCATGACTTGTCCTTGTCTTCAGATCTTTGGGTGCTGATGGAGCAAACCAGTTGTTGATGGAGTGGTTTAGTCATCCCAGGAGGTGTATCAGACGTACAGATGCTTGTATGAGTCGAACGAGACTGTTTTGGAACGTTTTTCCGGTTGGCCTTGACTGCAGGTGACGCGACCGCGGGAAAACGACCATGGGCCGCGGGCAGACCTAACACGACCGTGGGAGAAGGCTTTTTGGCCGCGGTCAGAGGCGACGCGACCACGGGAAGATGTCTCCGAGTTGATTTGCTGCTGCTGCTTGCTCCTTTGCTTCCTGGATGATCTCCTAGGTCTTCTGGTTTGATGTACTTCCTCTCTGGGCTCAAGTCTTTAGTTTTGGTTGCTGGAATCTGCTCTCCAAGTCCTTGTATGATCTCCTCAACCTTTTCTTCAACTTCATCAAGAGCATAGACTACTTTGTCCATGGTTGAGTAAAGTTCTTCGGTTTTGTCAATGACTTTGTAAACCTTCTCTGAAACTTCGACTGTGAAGTCATAAGACTCGTTCTTAGCTTCGTTTAAGGCTTTGTTCACATCATCAAGTTTGAAATCCAGGTCCATGACTTTGTTTTTGGTGTTGCGAAGCTCATAGGTGTGCTTTGCTTGCTCCTCCTCCATGCTGTTGAACTTGTTAGCGATCGTATCTGCGTCCTTGGTTGCTCTTTCTTCTATTGAATTGACTTGTGAGGCTAGGTTATCGATCTTCTCATTGAAAAGTTTTGATATCCCGTCAATCCTTTCGTTTAGAGCGGCTGTAGCGGTTACATGAGCCTCTATGAACTGCCTGATCACACCTTCGAGCTGGCTCAATCGGTTGCTGAGCTGGACGTTCTCATCACGGTGGAGGACCTGGTGAGGTAGGTGATACATAGGATATCTAGGGTTTGCCATTGGAGGTACGTAGGGCTCGTTCTGGAACGTTCTGTAGTCTTCGGTTTGAATTTCTCCGTAGAGATCGCGTAAGTACTGCTTCTCTCTGCGTCCGGTGGCTTGAGGAGTGTTATAGAAACCTTCCTCATAGTGTGTATTTCGATTTATAAGATCCATATCTTATGAAATGGAAACAAAATAACCAAAAAATGGAAATATGCAGAAAAGGGGTTCTAGAGTCGATTTACCAACCTTTCTTGGGGTTTTGCGGAAAAGAAAATGCGTGCCTTCCCCGGCAACGGCGCCAAAAACTTGATGTGGTGTGTGTGTCGAGGGTTGTCAAGTTTTACCCTAAATGAAATCAATAGCCGCAAGTGCACAGCTGATCGATTGTAGTACTTAGGGATCGAATCCACAGGGAAGGAGGATCTTTCCTGCAAAAGCCTTCGAAAGAAATATAAAGTAAGGAAGTCTAGAACCAAACGGTTTTGTGGGGGGTTTTGGTGGTGAGTTTAAAATGTAAAAACGAATCCTAAAGAGACAATACGGGAATTAAAATGACCTAATAACTAAACTTAACGAAAACGGGTAAAAACGGGAAAACGGCTAATCTAATTGCTTAAATGAAAATCGATTAAAAAGGAATGAAAATATTGAACTAAAGCTTGAAATAAAACGGTGTGAATCTATAAGAAAGAAAGTGCTGGGCTTCAGGGAAGTTTTCTCAGGGGTACGAACGATTCAAAACATTGCTAGAGAGTAAAATTGATAAGATCTTAGCTTAAACTTTTCGAACTGGAGTCACAGACGTAGGAATACGCCACTGTCATGATCATAGACAACAATCTCTCTCAACCCTGACCAGTAGGTTTCCACTCTGGCCTTGGAAAAGAAGAGATGCATTATGTTTAAGACTCGTCAGCATTCACAAATCGCCCATAGGTAGGTTTCCACTCCTATGTTTGTTTTGCTCTCCCAAACTAGATCTGACACCGGATGAACACTTTCGTGTCACCAAGCATCTGGATCAGATTGTAGTTCATGACGCTACTCTCATGGAGTAAAAACGAATTCTGAAGAAAAAGTTCTAAGATTCAGCTCAAAAGCTCATGGAATCCTCATCGAACATATAAATCCCCATCGAAAATCCCTTAATCCCAACAATAAAACTACTCAGACATGATGAACGAAATCAAAAACATAGTATTAAAAAGTAGAATAGAAATCGAAATTGAAAAAGAAAGAACAAGGGTTCAAGAGACAAATCTATGTCTCCCTAAAACCTAAAACTTAAAAAGTATTCTAAAACAATAAGAACATATGAATGCATACAAATTAGGTTTCCTAAAACATGTATTTATAGTGCTCAAGACATCTCTGGGCGTCACTTAGGGTTTCTCTAAATGAGGGAATCATTTTGGGCTTCAGAAATGGGCCTTCGGGCTCGGAGGTAGTTGGCCGCGGTCGGGATAGCTGTGACCGCGGGGAATGGGTTGCTGGCCGCGGTCGCGGTGCTTCTGACCGCGGGAAATGCTCTGTTGGCCGCGGGTGGAAACGCTTGCCGCCTGGTTTACGGGACATCTTGTTTTTCGCGTATCTTTTGATTGAACCGTTGGATTGCGAAGCTGTAAAGTGTGCTGGAAAGCTGATACTTCCATATTTAAGATCTCCAAATTTGAGCTGGATAAGACGGTGAGAAGGCGTTCAATCAGGGGTGAACTTCTGACGGTTTGACTCTGAGCTGAAATCTGGTTTTCTATCAATTTTGTTAAGTTTTTCCCTAAGTTACCTGAAAAGAGTTTTGGAACTACAAATACTAGAAAAACGTAATAAAAGTACTTGAAAGCAATTAAAAACATAGAAAAAGTATTTCAAAATGATCCATAAAAGTGGTCTAAATACGGTGTTATCAGGAATTTTCTAGAGTTGAGAGGGTAAGTTCAGTTGGTATCAATTACGGGGCATTGCGTTTAGGTAATGGTGGACTAAATAATGGTGTACTTGCTATTTACACAGGAAACTGTTCAGCAGAACAACATCAACAGAATGTCCCGGTGATTGAGGAAGCTGATGGTGATGATGTTGACGAGAGAAAATATGGTGATGATGTAACACATGACAATGGAGAAGGTGGTGATGATGTACCACGTGACAATGGAGTAGATGGTGATGATGTATCACGTGACAATGGAGTAGATGATAGTAAAGCAAAGTTTGATAACGAGGAGGAAGAATACCGACGGTTTAATTTTGATGATGGTCCCCGTGCTGAAGTAGAAACACAACATTTTGAATGGGATGATGGTATGAATCTGAGAGTAAGGCAACACTTTACATGTAAACAAGATTTTATAGATTTATTGTATAGAGCTTCACATCAGAATTGTTTTGGTCTGAATATAAAGAATTCAGATAAGAAGCAAGACGTGGTGAAATGCGGTGAAACGGGTTGTAATTGGTATTTACGATCTTGGAAGGATGTGATCCTTTTTTCTATTACAGTATACTGTAAGATATGTAGTTGTTCTTGGGTCAGTGCGAGTACAAACAGCAAACAAAGGAAACGAACACCAGGATTGGTTGCATCTGTTGTTAAGGAAGCGTATCCAGGTCGATTAGTTACACCAACTCATCGCGCTGTCATGGTTATGGTTAAAAATAATGTTTTTGTGAGTGTGTCATACTCTACCGCATGAAGAGGAATACAGCAAGCTAAATCTCTAGTTTGTGGTTTTCCTGAAGACAGCTATAGAGATCTCTACTTGTATTTGTACATGCTAGAGCAGGTGAATTAAAGTACAAAACACAATGTGTTACTGGACGGACAACGAAGATTCAAGTTCTTATTTGTCGCTTTGGAGCTTGCATTGATGGATGTGTAGCAATGAGGAAAGCGGTAACTGTTGATGCAAATTTTTGAAAGCCGGAATGGATTGTCAGCTAGTCTTTGCTGCTTGTCAGGATGGTTATCATCACCATTATCCGATTGCTTTTGGAGTAATTGATGCAGAAAAAAATAACAGTTGGGAGTGGTTTTTCAGAGAGTTGAAAACTGTTATACCCGATAGTCCTGAATTGGTTATTGTTTCTGACAGAAATTCAAGGTTCATCAAGGCAGTAGCTGAGGTGTACACGGAAGCTAAACATGGGTGTTGCATCTGGCATCTGAGAAGAATGTGAAATTGCAAGTTTCAAGGGATACAGAAATAGTTGCAGATACATTCATGGAGAGCGCAAGAAAGTATACAAAGGCCGATTTTCTTGATCATTATATGAGAATGGAATTAAAGTATCCTAATGTAACTGGGTATCTAGAAAGACGTGTAGAAGTATCGAAAAGGGCCAGGTGCTATTTTCCGGAGATAGGCACAACCTAGAGACTAGTAACGTTGTGGAGTCCTTGAATAATGTATTTAAGGATGAAAGAGGCTATGCTTATTACCTATGTTGGATAAGATTGTTGCAAAGTTTTGTGAGTGGTTTAACAAGCATAGGAACAAGGCTGCTTCTACGCCACCAGGACATAAACTGGTGGCCTTTGTGGAGAATATATTTCACAGTAGATGTGCTGAAGCGAAGAGGCTAACTGTCACCGAGTTAAATATCAGTCATATTGAATACAGTGTAATTGGAAACGATGGGATGAATTACACGGTGAACTTGAAAAGTAAAACTTGCTCGTGCAAATGTTTTGATATAGACAAGTATCCTTGTGTCCACGCCTTAGCCGCACTAGAGCATTACATGAAGCGGCCAGACAGAGAAGAGGATATAAATGTAGATGACTTGTGTTCGATGTATTATTTAACCGAGCAGTGGGCGTTTGCTTATAACAGAACGATCTATCATGTCCCACACAAGTCACACTGGGTTATCCCCGATGATATAAAGCAATTGAGTGCTTTGCCCCGGAACACGAAAAAAATGATGGGGGCAAAACAGCAGAAAAGGCATCCATCCGTTGGAGAGCGTTGACCGAAGTCGAAGAAGGCGAATACGAGTAATAAGTGTCGCCCTGAATCTTATAGAATTTATTCCTATTTTACTGCAGGTCAAAATATTGGAGCTGAAAATGTTGCAGGTGCCTCTGAAAATACTGCAGGTGCCTCTAAAAATACTGCATGTGATAACGTGATTTAGTTACTCTGAACTATTGTATTTGGAAATGTGATGTTTTACTTGGAATTACTTGGTACAAATACAGTCGACTATTGTTTTTCAAAATTTTATTGTATTACTCGGAATTACCTGGTACAACTACAGTCGACTATTGTATTTAGAAATGTGATGTTTTACTCGGAATTACTTGATACAACTACAATCAACTATTTTTGAAAAAAAAAAGTGAAAATAGGAATACAAACGACGTGTCGTTTCGTTTCCAACGTCGACTCGAAGAGTTTTTAGGGATTTCTGTCCTCTTTTATTTAACATAGACCCAAGAAGTATCTGAAACACATTTCCTCTCCTATGGCAAAACAAATAGGGATTTCTGGTCTGCCCATCGAGATGAAAATCGAAATACTAAAGAAGATAATCAGTAACTCCTTTAGAGATTATTGTTCAGCAAAAGTGGTTCTTAGGGATTTTAACGAAATCTCCAAGGATCCAATCTTCTTACGGAGCGTGGATCTGTTAACCGTGCCCACACATTGGTTCTTTGATATGGCATGGATGAGAATGTTTAAGGGCAGATGTTTGGCAGCAGGTAATCCAAAGGCTTTATTTGAAAGAGGTCTTTCAATTATTTTCTATGACCGTAATATCGAAGCAGGGATAGCTATGATTAAAGAGTCAGCGGAAGCGAGATGCTCTATGGTGAAATACTGCCACAAAATGCTTGTTCTCATCATGTCCAGATGCAAAGTGAGATTAACATCTGTGACAGATATTACCCGGGCGGAGGTAGGAGAAATGCTTCGAAGAATGGAACATTCAAGCCCGAGGGGTTCCAATGTTAACCTTCCGCAAGTGTTTGCAGAAAATGTTACTTTGGTTTTTCACAAAGCTTGTAACTTGCACTGCGGAAACATGTACTTACCCCACAGGTGTCTTGTTATATACGGATACATGGAGGAACCCACCAATTTGTGCGATACTTGCTACTGGACAATGCAGGTGGCAAAATTCAGTCGATTTATCAGGAGGTTTGCGAAGGAGTGGCCAAATTGATACTCTCACTGTTCTACTGAATTGTTCTCTCTCTCAAATATTTGATGTTCTTTGATGTTCTCACAAGTTCAATGTAAAATCGAAGTGTTTGTTGTTACTTTGACTATTTATATTCTGTAAACTATTTGTAAACAATGCTAAAAAATAAAATAAAACGATGTCTAGCTTTTAAGTGTATCAACAATTTAAATGTTTAGTTTTTCTCAGGAAAACTTGGTATAACTATGCTCTAGTACGGACCTTTGTTGTTCTATCAAACACAAATAATTGTGAATTGGGGAATAGAAGCAAGAGCGAGAATGTTGTGTGAAAGAAAAGTGAAAATAAACCAAGTCACACTTTAAGGTCAGAGAATGTCGTCTAAAAGTTAAAAACCCGATGGAATGTTCCTCGGTACAAGAGAAGTTGATCATGTGTGAGGTAAAATATTATTATAATAATAGAAAATAAGATTAAAGGAGACCCGTTTTTATGTGACGTCGTTTTACACAAGGTTAACCACCCTTTAACCACCAATATACCAATTTAAACCGATTTAATAATGCAAACATGTCAAAATACGATCACGATAATAATCAGTATTTTAAATTAAGTTCGTTTTCATGCTACTTCTTATCACGGACTACGAACCTGTGTTTTAAAATATTGAAAATAATGAATAAATTTTATGAATCTCACCAAAGCTGACCCATAAGTGTCTTATGCTTCTATAGTCACTTTGTTAAGCTTAGGCCATCAATGATGGAAAGAATACGTATAACACTTTTCCTCGAATTTTGTTTGATGAAAACGTTGATAACTTAATTTTATGACCAATAATGAAGCGTTTAATCGGAATATTTTATTTACAATACAGTATTACTACGAATACGGGCACAACTACGTTTGAAATTTCCCAGTTACAATAAAGACATGTGTCTATAATAAAACAAACTCTTATTATGATGGACATGTGTTCTTTACATGAACACATGTCTTATTGGCTGGAAAAAATAGACCCCACCATTATTATTTATTATTTACGGGATTTATCCATGAAACTCAAATTTGTATTTTCCCCCCAAATCAGACATTCCAAATTTGAGTTTCCCCCTAAACATCAAAATTCAACAAATATCTGGGTTTATGCCCAAAACCACCAGAACACTTAGTTTTTGCAAAATAACATCTTTTTGCAAGAATGCCAAGTCTTGGCTCGTCGTCCGATTCGGAGCTTTCAAGCGGTAGCCCTCCACCAGAATTGTACGAAAATTCTCGAATCCCGCGAGTCTGTTATTGTCAATATCAACCAATCATCAAAACTTCCCACACCGTTTTGGATTCAAGAAAAAGATTTTTTGCTTGCAATAAGGAATATGTAAGCAAAGTTCAGCTGTAGATTGCTTTTTATTTTGTTGCAATTACCAAAAAAAATTATATGGTTTGTGTCCTGTAGAGTCACGGATGTCATCTCTTCAAGTGGTGTGATGAGGCGATGCTTGAAGAGATTCAAGATGTTCGGCATGATTTGACCGAGATGCAAGGGGGGAGTGGTTGGACAAGAGCCATGAACCGGATTTACTCGACTGAGATTTCCCAGTTACAGGAATCGGTAAACAAGCTGAAGGAGAAAATGATTGAGGCAAGGAGGTCTCATATTCTCCTTTATAAGGTGGTTTGGGACTGTATTTTGAAGAAAATGGATTGGGAATTGGATCAGACGCGACGAGATAGGATATTTAAGGAAGTTAAGGACATGGTTGTTCTCTATGTTCTTGCTGTGGCTTCAGTTTCTTTAATTATCTACCTGTTCAAGTAGTTAAGATTACTGGTTGTACTTAAAACTTAGTTAATGTTACCAGTATTATCAATTTTTCAATTTTTTAACAACATTTAGTTAAACCAAAGGATACTGAGTTATAAAAGTTTTCAATTTTCAGAATAACATTTGGTTACACCAAGTGATACTGAGTTATACGAGTTTTCAATTTTCCGAATAACATTTGGTTACACCAAATGCTACTGAGTTATACCAGTTTTCAATTTTCCAAATAACATTTGGTTACACCAAATGATAATGAGTTATACCAGTTACACCAAATGATACTGAGTTATACCAGTTTTCTTAGAACTTCTTTATTTATCGGCTGAGATAATATAGTAGAGAGAACAACACAGGTAGATTTAATAATAATTTTTTATAATTAAATATTTTACAATAATAATTTTAATAATTAAATATTTAACAATAAAAGCAAAAATTAAAAACACTTCAACCATAGATTTTAAATAACTAAAAACATAAAAACATGAAATTCATTATTTTTGGGTGAAAACGCCATGAATTAATTCATGACATGTGCCTCAGTCATCAAGCAGGCCTCCTTCTGAAATCTCTCTGGCTCCAAGACGCACATGCGGGCGACGTCTTCGAGGAAGTGGTCGTCTTCCTCGACCTTAAGGTGAAGCAACATGTCATGGAGCGCTTGGAGGAGTTCTTTCACCGTCGTCTCGGGCCTCAAGGTAGTGGTAACGAGTAGCGGATGGAAGACGCGATGTTTGTCAATGTTGGAGTGCAGAATCGGTGTCTTCCACGACACCCTTGGCGGCTTGAAGGTGTACTCTGATGGGAAATGGATGGAGATGAATAAGAGGCCCCCTTCATATGGACTCCTAAGGGGTCCCATCAGCGTTGCTTGCCATTCGTAAATGTTTTCCGCCACCTGCTTCGCACTGAACCGATTCGCCGGAAACCTAAACAACTCCCTCAGATGAATCATGATCCACGATGTAGGGACCATTTTGAAGTGATAAAGAGAGCAAAGATATCACTAAATAGAGAGAAGATGATTTAGAAGATAGATATGAGTGATTATATTTATAGAAAGAGAAAGGAAAACCCTTAGATGCGACTCATTTAATAAATTCCCTTCAACCGTTCAGCCTTAGGGGAATCGTGCGGAGAAGATAAAAGTCACGTCTCTCCCCTAATAGACCTGAAAAATAATTATTTAATTAATGTATAGGTAAAAAGGATTTAGAATGTTGGTAGTTGTATCAGTCTTAAGGCAGTTAATGAAAGCATTAACTGCAGTAAAACTGGTACAACTACCAACACTAATTTGATCATTTTCTCTTTCATCCATGAAACGATGAAACGCGTTGTAATTATCTTTTTGACAGCTAAATTTAGTTATTATTATTTATTTATTTACTTCTACAGAGATATAGATCACGTCTAATCTAACATCTACCTTGGAAGTGACTGTTCCCTCTTTCCTTATCCTCTCCTTTCGTCCATGCAACGCATCTATATAACTAAGTACTCAATTTTTCTGCTTTTAAAAATAAATAACTTCCTCTCACGTGAGTAAATGTTGAGTAGATAAATATCCGAATATATCAGTTTTCCAGATTTATTCATCTTTTTTTATTGAATATATAATAATCATATATTTTCAATTACGTATTATTGAGAGTAGCAGTTATTCCTCTCTTTCTTTCTAGTTCTCATCATCATACGGTCTTCTTTACTCGACGAGACTACTCACTTGCTCTATTTTCTATTATTTAAGTTCCCAATTCAAATCCATGCGGGAAGAAGTTCCAAAATCCATTCTCCTTCTTCTTTACTTTCCCAAATCCATCACTTTTTCCTTCCTCCTTTCTCTTAGGGTTCATATTTTCCTTTTATATTACAAAAATCCATCATTTTCTCTTAGGGTTTCAGATCTTTTACTCAAAATCCCTTTCACAAAACTCGGCCTCAACCATTTTCAAATATAAATCCATGGCAGAGTACTCCTACCTACTAGCCCTACCGGACAAACTACTGAAAAAGGTTATGGTAGCGTCGGTTAACACAGTTGGTGACCTAATATGGATTCGCTATATTTTTCATAGGTTCAACGCCTGCACCAGAGGCCCTAGCTTCTAAGCTGAAGTTGATCCCTTTAATATGTGTCATCCAGTGGATCAAGATGTCCATTTCATCATTGATGTCTTCAGAGAGTTCTATGATGCACGAAATCCATGAATGCTTTTCATGCGAGGTATGCAACTCTATTTTCATCGACACGATTTTGGAGGAATTCAACTGATAAAGGATGCGGCGGGTAGAGGGTGCACGCGTACAATATATGTCTATGGGATGTTCATGAAACTTGTTATGGAACATCCCGAGGGTGATGAGTACCTCATCAAACTAAGCCGGGAAACAATAAGGAAGTGCAGCCGCGAGCTCGTTGAAGAAGTATATCTTGGTTGGCCAATGGCGTTGCCGGAGATGTTCGTTGAAAGCCACCGTCGCTTTTTACAGCGCATCATTACTCTTATCCACTGTCCGTGCGGTACAGTAACCGATGGGAGCATTGGTGGAATGATGAGTATAAACCAGGGAACATCTGCTACTACTGCTTCTTAACTCGCGAATGCGGAAAGTTCTTCCGATATGTGTAACAAGTAGTTAGGGTTTTTCCTGAAATGGTGAACTAGTGAATGTGTCTGATGTTTTGTGTTTTTTTGTACTTCCTTATGTTCTGGATTCTTTATGTTAACAATTCGTAATGTTTTGTACTTCTTTATGTTGTGTATAAACATTATTCTGATAATTTTAACTCGAACTGTTTAGGCCAAGTATTTCTCATATAAGTACTTACACCAAATACTACTAGGTTATACAAATGAATGTCGACCCCTTTGAACTTAGGGTTTCCCAATTTACATGTGATTTCACCAATAATACCAAGTGATACCAATTTATGATTTTCAATAATACCTTTGGTTTCACCAATTAATACTTAGTTATACCAATTTATGGTTTTCAATAATCCAAATAATACTTAGTTATCCAAAACCAATAATAAAAATAGAAGTAAGTACACACTCTAAAGTTTGAGAGTTTAATCCAAATACAAATACAAATACCAAATATCAAAGGAGACTTTGTGTTTGGGCCTAGCTTTGATTGCTCTTATTTCCGTTTATCTGCACCCACTTTCTGTATTCACAGCATCAGCACCGTCTGGTTCTACCAACACATACCAAGTAATACAACATAGTGTTACCACGAAATATTAAGTATTACCAAAACAACGGATATTAATCTTCAAACTTCAATACCTCTTTACTTCTAAGCAGGTACGGAGATCGGGCTACAAGCAGCTCCGCCTCCTTCTGCTCTATCTCCTTCTGCCCGCCTCCTTCTGCTCCGCCTCCTTCTGCTCCGCCTCTTTTAGCTCCGCCTCATTCATCTCCGGCTCTTTTTGCTCCGGCTCCTTCTGTTCCGCCTCCGTCTGCTCTGGCTCCATCTGCTCTGGCTCCTTCTACTCCGCCTTCTTCTACTCTGGCTCTTTCTGCTCCGGCTCCTTCTGCTCCGGCTCCTTCTGCTCTGGCTCCTTCTGCTCTGGCTCCTTCTGCTCTGGCTTCTTCTGCTCTGGCACCTTCTGCTTCTTCTTCGGCTTCTGCTTCTTAGCTTTCTCAGTTGTCACCACACTTTCAAATTTCTCTCCACCTAGTGCATGTTCATGTTCTACATCATTTCGTAAAACTTCTCCTTCCTCATCTTCTGGTCCTTCCCTTTCTCTTCTTGCCTCTTTTACATATTGTTCTACAGAGCAGAGTCTTGTATCAATGTCATCCATTCGGGCACTGATTCGGAGAAACTGAACGTCCATACTCTTCTGAAAGCTCTGAAGCTGTTCCACCAATCTAAGAGGCGCCACATTCTCTGTCCCCACATTTTTCTTAGCCACTGTAGGATGGTTTACCCACTCCTTATTATCTTGGGCATCAACATCGATATCGGCTTCTTTTCCTCAACTAAACGTCTCGTCCAATTTTCAGAAATGATATCACCAACATCTTCCTCTTCATTCCTCTCTATGACTCCAGCAAGCATAATTACCTATTCCTAGGATGGTTGCAATATAATCTCGATGACTCTAGTGTTACCTAGTGTTTCATAGAGTTCCGACAAAGGGAAACCTTTTAGGGTGAATGGTTGGAACTTCTGCCTGCACATCCGGGAACTTCAGATAAGAGATGGCCTCAAAAGCTAGCAACAACACATAAACCCAACAAATTACACTTAAGCTTATAGTATTACACACTTACAAATTCTTTATAATGTGACACACCTCCAAAAGAGTAACAAATCTTGGAAATGTCCAAACATCTGTTTCGACGGACCCTTTGAAATGCCTCATTGTGTGCTCAATCTCCTTCATATTTACATCGAATGAATACCTACCCCAAGGAAACCTTTTACAAGCCTCAAAATCATCCACAATCCTTAGGAATAAGGGCTCAACAGATGGTGCTTCCTTACCGATTTTATTTTTCCCACTAATTATAGAGGATAAGAAGTAGGCGACACACATCTTCAACCGATCAGGATGATCTACCCCTCGCATCGACTCTACCTTTTTCTCAACAGCAGCAAGGGAGGAGATGGTTTCCTGGAAATATCTATTCTTAAACGAAGAACTTCATATGCTCTCATAGTCCTCTGGGTATGGTAGACAATTTAATCCACACAAAAGGGCATGCTCTCTAAGGGAATATTGAATTGGTACGCTATTCACTACAAACCAAGCTTCATTTTTCTTATTTGTGTTTGCTGTCCGAAGAAGAAGCAACCACATTCCCATCATCTTGTGTGTTTTGTCCTCATGCATGGCCCTATGGCTTGAAATGTGGGTGTTTTGTAAACCATATTAGCTCATAGGGGTCAAGGTCTAGGGACTCCAATTTCGCAACAGCTTTGTGGATATAACATCTTGTTTCCAGCTTTATTGCATTATGATACTGACTTGACTCGAAGAACATTCTCATGGGTGGTTCTCCTCCTCTTCAGCCTCAGTTTCCGTAGTTTCAGTAGTGTTCTGTCACAACACTATCTGATTATTACCCGTCTCCGAATCGGCAACTCCTTCTACCATTTTCTCCTGCGGCGAATCGGAATCTGAGTACAGTTCTCGTCTAGCATAACTAAACTCTCTTTAGATACCATCCATGACTCATATTTTGTAATTACCAACCAAATAGAAAACATATAAATCGATTTTCGATTCTACACATAATCGTGTTCAATTCTACAAAGTTATCTAAATAGAAAGTAGAAATCAGAAGACGAAGTCGAACGAACCTGATTTAGCATTGATTCAAGACAGGCAGCAGCAAATCACTCGTAGTTGTCCCAGAGAATACTAAACGAAGACGACGAGGACGACGAGATGTCGATTTAAAATTTTGAAATTTTTTTTTAATTTTGACAAGTATAATTACTATTTAGGGTTTGACTTACCACAATTTGAACGAAGATCTGATTTATTTGGATTCAACCCGATATGACAGACTGGGTGTGGATTTTGGTGGTTGGATTCGCAAATATGAAACTTTACTAAGGATCCCCAAGTATTTGACCGCTTTTTTTTTTCTTTAAAATAAATCAAAAGTATAATAAATATTATGACGAGGAAATATGAGAATTTTTATAACGCAGAAGGAATACGCGAGATTATTCCTCCAAAGTTGTTCAATATGTAGACAAACATCTTTCTAATAAATAAATTCCTCAGCAGCCTATAATTTTCTTAAACTTATGAAACATCACAATATATAACTCCAAAGATGAAGAAAGAACAAGGTCAGATGACTTTTACAAAATAAAATAACAAACAAACAACTAAGTTAAAACACCGCTCCTAGCGCGAAGAATCCACTAATATTCTACTGAATTCAGATTCTAATCCATCTGATATTTAAAGTATCAGTTACAATTAAAAACCCTTACTACAAT